AAAGAAGAGGAAAAGGGAATAAAGAGCAGGAAAAAAAGGAAACACTGGAGACAAAAAGTCGTAGTACAGCTTCTTACGGGAGAGTGTAGCAGAGGGGAGTACAGTCAAGAAAGAAGAGAAGATATTCTGAGAAAAGCAAGAAAGTGGTTGTACATTTCATGGCAAAATAATTCAATGAAAAGATAATGCAGTGCTGGGTGGATTATACATGACTGTGTGTGTCACAGTATTATGGTAAATCTTTGAGATGAGAGTTATAGTGTTTCTCTAGAACTGGGCACCTTGAGGCAATTTTGCTTCTTATTGACATTATCTTTCCTCCCTGCAGCTTAGCTGGCATTTCACGTCTTATTTCTATATAGAAAAAGAAAATTATTATCCATAGCTAAAAGTTACACAGTAAAACAGCAGTTTCAGCCTGTCAGTTCAGGGTATGATCTTGGGGCTTGCAAAACCCACGTTCAGTTCCTTTCTGCAGTGGCGGTGTTTCATATTGTTCTTTGTACTACTGCAGCAGCTAGAAGTCCCAGGCAAGGAGCAGGCCACCTGCAGTGGGTTAACCCCAGCCAGCAGCCAAACACTGACCCAGCCTCTCACTCGCTCCCCTCTCCTGCAGGATGGGGAGAAAATAAAGGAAGGCGAAAAGACCCATGGATCAAGATAATGATAGTTTTATAAGGAAAACAAAAGCTGCACATGCAAGCAAAGCAAAAGGAGGAATTCATTCACTACTCCCCATCAGCAGGCAGATGTCCAGCCTTAGCCACTTCCTGGAAAGCAGGTCCTCGGCATGGCTAATGGTTGCTTGGGCAGACAAATGCTATAATGACAAATGTTTCCCCTTATACCTCCTTTTCTTAAGTTTTTATTGCTGAACATGACATCATATGGTCTGGAATATCCCTTTGGTCAGTTGGAGCCAGCTGTCCTCTCTGTGTCCCTTCCCAACGTCTTGCCCACTTGCAAGCCTGCTTGAGGGTGAGGGGAGGGAAAAGAGAAAAAGCAAGCCTTGCTGCTGTGCAAGCATTGTTCAGCAGCAGCCAAAAGACTGATTGTTATCAACACTGTTTTAACCACAAATGAAAAGCACAGTGCCATATGAGGTGCTGTGAAGGCAGTTAAGGCTACCTCGGCCACAGCCAGTACATCACCACTGTACAGGGTGTTGTACAGGCACAGTGGGAAAAGGGTAACCCTTACTTGGCAGTCATTAATAGAATTGTGAAAGAATGGCTGGATACGGGCAAGTGATAATGTGCGGTACAGAACAGTCAGGAATGGTCAAGAAGATGAATAGTAGTCTTGGCTTTAAATATTGCCCTTCCAGTTAGAAAACAGTTTATTTGCAATGTCTTGTGCATGGTGGCTTTTTTGCAGCACATGATATCAAAGTCTACTGTAGGTAAATAAGTGACAGTCAGGAAATAAATACTAATGCAATTTTACAGTGAGCTAGGACTCTCACTTTTTATTTATCTTTTGTGGTGTAATGGCAACATCAACCAAAAAGCAACCCCCAAAAGACCAACCTTTTCCTACCGTTTTACTTGTTCTGTGGCTTCCTCCTTGGATGTTTTAGGGTCATTCCCACACATATTTTCACCCATGCTTGTCTGTTACATCTGTGATCCGTTGGTAATTGGTTTGGGCTTTTCTGGGGGGAGACGCTGTGGGTTCGGTGTTTTGGGTTTTTTTTTTGTTTTTTTTTCTTTTTTTTTTTTTGTGGGCATCTATTCTGATTCACACTATGAAAGAAAACAGTCATCTTGACCTAGAGGTTGCTCAAGATTTTTGCCTTATTTTACACATCTAAAGTGTTTTGAAGGTGAAAAACTTTAGCACAATGCATATGGAGTCTTTATTAGCCCTCATTTGGCGAATGGGGGAGCTGAAGCAACGAAATACATGATTTACTGAAGTTCAAACAGTAAGATGGTTACAAAGCTGGGGTCAGAATGCAAGAGCCAGTGACATTCAGTTCCTCCCTTGTCAGTGTTTGTCTGTGGAAATGTATCTCTAATGCTCAGGACATTAGGCTTTCCTTTAGAGTAGGCTGTTGTCAATATTGGAGATCATGCTGGATTTATGTTTGTGCAGGTAGGTGTCTCAGGAAAATTTAGTTCTCTCCAAATGTTACAAAAGAATTAAGTATTGGTAATAAAGCCAGAGCTTTATTTATTACATCCATTAAAGCAGGACAGTAGAAAAAGATTATATGAAGCACTTGCACAGATTGATTCTTGGGTTATAAAATTGTTCTGTGGTCAGACAAACTATAGTCTTCTACCAGATGATCAGAAAATGCTTAGTGGTGCCAGCTGGCCTATGGGTACATGGGGGGCAAAACAAGTCCTTTCTTATGTTATGGTTCCTTTGATACCTTCAAGGCACTAGTGAGGAAAATTGCATCTGTAATCTCTTCTGCCTGCCTGTTCCTTGGAGCAGGTGATTCTCTAGTAAGCTGCTTTGAACTTGCTGGCTTGGTCCAGGTTCTTCCATCTGCTGGTACACTCCAGCACGATTGTGTTAGTGAAGGGGAGTCCAGCCTGTTAGTCCTGAGATGCAGGCAGCTCTTGGGCAATTTCACGGTGGCCCATGTGACTGGCAACAGGACTGGAAATCACAGGAGGATCTAGCCACAAGAGAGGCTGAGGATCGTGTTGCTGGCTTTCTCTTGGTCCTGTGAAGCTAGGATGTTTGGAGCTGAGCTTTCTCTGTAAACTAATTGCATCTGCAGTACTACAGCCAGCCAAGAGCAAGTGCAGGGAGTTAGGTGGAATCTAAACCATCTGAAATGAGTACAGTGGCATCTGGGCCTAATGCCATGGGCCTCTTCTCCAGTGTGCATTTGCCCTGAAAGTAACTGCAAAGTGAATCTTCGTCCTGTATATAATCTCTTCATAATACAAAGGCATGATTCCTCTCCTTTTCTTAAGAATGTGTTGAATTTTCCTGCAGTGGAAGATTGACTTCCTTGTTTTTTACTGAGTGTAATCAATGACCAATGGACTTTAGATGCTTGTTCTTTGACAGGGACAAGAAGAAACAAGGAGGAAAACAGCTGTTTTTTAAAAAGGAACAGCATTTTTAGGGAACACTTCAAGTAGCATTTTATAGCACAGGGAAACAGAATTTATCACTGTTGTTCAGTCCTTCCCTATCCTCTCTAGCGTAAGAGGTACAGAAGGAAAGTGTGCCATTCTGAACAGGTTGATGTCATCTCTATGGGCAGGAAGGAAGATCCAGGGAACTACAGGTTGGTCAGCCTCACCTCAGGCCCTGGAAAGGTGATGAAGAAAATCCTCCTGGAAAACATTTCCAAACACATGAAGGACAAGAAGGTGATCGGGAGTAGTCAGCATGGATTTACAAAGGGGAAATCATGCTTGACCAGCCTTACAGCCTTCTGTAATGAGGTAACTAGCTTGGTGGTCAAGGGGAGAGTAGTGGGTGTTCTTTACCTTGATCTTAGTAAGGTTATGGTCTCCCATAATGTCCTCATAGACAAGCTGACAGGGTATGGCTTAGGTAAGTGGGCAGCGAGGTGGGTTAAAAACTGTCTGAATGGCCAGGCCCAGAGGGTTGTGGTACAAGGTCCTTGGAGGCCAGTCACTATGTGGTATACCCCAGGGGTCAATACTGGGGCCAGTACTGTTCAACATCTTCTATCACTATCTGGACGTTGAGGCAGAGTGCACCCTCAGCAAGTTTGTAGATGATAAAAAAACTGGGAGGGGTGGCTGATGAGCCAGAAGGTTGTGCTGCCATGGAGAGGGACCTTGACAGGCTGGACAAAGAGATATTTCATCAAGTTCAACAGGGAAATGCAAAGTTCTGCATCTGGGGATATCTGAGGATAAGCCCCTGCACCAGTACAGGCTTGGGGCTAACTGGCTGGAAAGCAACTTTTGCAGAGAAGACCTTGGGGTCCTGGTTGACAACAAGCTGACCATGAGCCATCAATGCACCCTCATGGCAAAGAAGGCCAACAGCATCCTGGGCTGCTTTGGGAAGTGTTGCCAGTGGATCAGGATCCTTCCCCTCTACTTGACACCGGTGAGACCACATCTGCAGTGCTGTGTGCAGTTCTGGGCTCCCCAGTGCAAGAGAGCCATGGACTTACTGGAGTGAGTCCAGCACAGGTCCACAAAGATGCTGAAGGTTGTGGAGCATCCTTCATGTGAGGAGAACGTGAGAGAGCTGGGACTGTTCAGCCTAGAGAAGAGAAGGTTCAGGGGAGCCCACCAACTTGTATAAATACCTGATGGGAGGGAGTGAAGGACAGGGAGAGGGAGTCTTCTCAATAGTGCCCAGTGACAGGACAAGAGGCAGTGGGCACATGAATGTCAATCTGAACATCAGAAAATGCTTTTTCACTATGAGGATGGTCAAACACTGGCACAGATTGCCCAGAGAGGTTGTGGAGTCTCCATCCTTGGAGATATTCAGAACCTAGCTGGACACAGTCCTGGGCAACTGGCTCTAAGTGTCCCTGCTTGAGTAAGGGGGTTGGACAAGATGACTTCCAGAGGCCCCTTCCATCCTCAACTATTCTCCGATTCTGTGATCCTTGCTGTGAGCACGAGACACGTAACTGTCTATATTTCCCGCATGGCTGGGACACACATTGTCCTGCTGCAGCCCCTCTCTCACCCCCCAGCCCTGGGGTGTGGCTGGTCGGCCTGGCCCATGCCTGGCACATTGAGTGAGTGTTGTCATGGCACAGGGGAAAAAGGGGCTTGAGCCTTGCCCTCATCACTTAAAGGCAGCAGCAGCATAACCCCTGGTCCTTCTTTGTTGTGAAGATCAAATCGCCTAGCCCATGTCCTACCTTCCATTAACATCCTTGAAAGATCTGTACTTGTTCACCCCTTTTTAGGGGCCATGAGTTGGCTTTTGAAGGAAGACTGTATCAGGAAAGAGCAAATTATGTTTCATTTTTGGTAGAGCCGTGCTCACTTCAAATCAGAATGGAGTTTAGGCTTGGGAGCTTATGTCAGTCCTATTCAAGAGCCAACATTTTCCACAGGCACATTGCAGAGGATGTGGTTGCCTCGTCTCCAGCTCAAAATAGAGATGAGAATGCAGACTCTTACCATCTTTCTTTTATGATGTCTGTTCTGTCTGGTAAGGTGTTGAGTGCCTCCTGGCAATTGCTGATTGCCTTTAGTTCACATTGGCTTCACTGCAAGATAGTTCCTGATATATAGCAGTGTTCCTAAACACGCTTCATGACTCACATCAAATACCTGGTTCAGTGGAAAGTCAAGAAGTGGATTAGTTTAAGCTGATCAGCTTCTGTGAAACAGAGTAAATATGGAACTTTATTGAAATCCAAAAATCTCTCCTTGGAGTTGATTGATGCGTATGTTCTTCGTTTTGCTTTTCAGAAGGCACTTAAATAGCAATGTCCTCCAATGTGTCCCCCACCCCTTTTGTAATACAGGTCTGAAGCCTGAATGTATTTTGTAGAGTGAAATCTTCTAACAAGACTGACCATCATTTGACCTGTACTGCTGGTCTGACTGGCTTGCTGGCTATGGGTTATATGTCTGCTGCTCTCACAGTCTGTGAAATACTGTATTGAAATGGAAATGGCAGTGCTCTAATTTTTTTGTGCCTCTAGTTTTTATTTTCAAGATGTATTAACCTACTCCCCTGAGCACAGATGCATAAAGAACACTCATAACATTTGATCATTTTATGGCTTTGCCATTCGTTTCTCTTTCTCTCTCTCTCTCTCTCTGTGCCACAAACTGACTTCTAAGATATATGTTGAACTGTATCCCGGACAGTTATGTATTAATCATTTTATCACTCAATTTCAACAGGGATTACAGGGGGCAAAAAAGATACAGCCATCACCGAGTATATCATGATAAACTGATATCTCGTGAAGGAACATTGGTATTCGTCACTTCTAAAGGAAAAATAATATTATGTGGCTCTATTTCCTACATTTGTTAGCATTCCTATTCAACAGGTGAGTTTTAAACTCTTGACTGTACCTGCTAGCCATGCAGGCAATATAGTGTGGCAAACATGGTATAGCTTTATATAAAGTTGTTGATATCGTCCCCTTTTGCACCTGTCCTGTGAAATAGCATTATGTGCCTCCAATCAGAGAACCCGCTTTAGAAACTGCGTGTAAATCTCATGTTGTGAAATTTACGCTAAGAAAGGAAATCTTTGAAAGAAATACCTCTTGCCACACAGTGGTTTCTTCCTACCTATGTGCTGAGGCACATCTAAAATCAAAGAAGGGAGAATCTTTACTAATGGTTTTTGGAATTGTTTTAATTGTGAAGTACTCTTGAAATGGAAAGCATGTTTGTTCAAATCCATGTTTCTACCCTGTTCTTAGGAGCTGAGCAGATTCTTCACTGACTGGTTGGTACCTTGTATCTTCTTATTTCTGAGGAATATAACACCTCAGATGAATTTCCTGATCTTGTCCTTGTATGGCTCACATTCTTCTTTATGCTGCTTCTCAAATTTTTATACCTTCTAACTAAAAAAAAAAAACCAAAAAACCAAGAATTTTTATGCTTCCATGGAGTTGAAAGAACTAGGACTGGTTTAAACTAAGTTTTTTTTACCAGTGCATCTTATTATTTGGATGGTGGTTGTACTTCAAGGATCAAGTCCTTCTTAATCTTTGTACACAGTAAAAAAGTTGATAATGGTTCAAGCATGAAATAAGCCAATAGGCAGATTTAATACTGCTGTGAATTAGAACTTCCTTCTTGATTTGTACAGTGTAATTGAAACTGAGAACTGATTATTGTGAAGGCACCTGAATAAGGGAGGCCTCTTTTAGCCTTTAGTGGTTAGAGAAGTGTTGTCCTCATGCCACCTTTATCCAAGAGCAAGATTCAATGCTTGCCATGACTCTTCCTATAGAACGAAATTTCATTAAATTTAATTTTCATTTTCTCATGAAAATGATAGCTGTGATGTCTTGCATCACTTCCAAGTGTTATAGATTATAGGGTAAATGACCTGCTGATCTCCTTCTGATTGTTCACATTATTCAACAGCTAAGTTATACAACTCTGTGCTCAACTGATGTTAAGATTCAGGGAGCCAAGATGGATGTTTTGCGGCAGCCTGAGCCAGCGTGGTTACACTCCCAAACCAGAGGGCAGGAACATATTTGGGGAGACAGGGACTGAGCAATACCATGCATTTTCAAAGGCATACGTAACCTCCATTCTTGAGAGGCGTTGAACACGATCCAACCCTGCACCTCAAAGTCCGC